GAATTGGTTGCACACTACTCGCCAGTTCCATCACTTTACAAATGTAGGAACTGCCCTAATTGATTATATCTTCCTTTCGATTTGAATGTAAAGAAAATGTTGGGGGACTTCAACAAGTACAATAATGTTTGCTTTTAATCGATGTACAGAAAAACTATAAAACAATTAAATATTTTGTTTGCAAATCAAGCAAAGGAAAAGTGTTATAAAATACTATAAAACAATTAAATATTTTTCAAGCAAAGTAAAAGTGTTATAAAATACTATAAAACAATTAAATATTTTGTTTGCAAATCAAGCAAAGGAAAAGTGTTACACATAACTTCAGTTCTTTACACATTGTGGAGAAAAAAATTACTCTAAATTAACTTTAACTCCAGACTGTACAGATTGCATGACATGGAAATATTCATGTGAAAAAGGTCAGACATGACAGAAACAAATATAGACTTGATTCTGATTGAACTGTTTGTGCACAAGAAATAATAGTGGTGATAGACATATAAAAGTAATCATGCTACCAAGGATGAAAAATCTTAAAGAAGCAATATTTTTTCAGCGATTAACAACATACAATCAAAGATTTGTGCCTATTGGAAAAACAAAGGAAAGTGTAGTTTCAATTGTTAAGCATGAAAAAAAATTGCTGGGCAGTGCATAGGAGAACTAGTTTCTACATATTATTTGTTTTTGCAAGAGTGTCGGGACAAATCTGAAATTACTATTTATTGTGACAATTGCTCTATAAACAAAAATTGGAGTTTAGTGATGTTCCTGATATATATGATTAATGGTAATGAAATCGCAATCAACAAAATCAAATTAAAATATTTGAAAAGTGGTTACAAATTTATGAATTGTGACTCATTTCATAATTTTATAGAGAAGCAACTGAAACGTGAAAAGTCACATGTACAATTTCAATGATTTTATTCAAATAGTGGAAGCAGTGAAACGAAATACAAAAGTTAAATTTTTGCAGGTAAGTTTGATTTTAGTTCTATAAAGTTTATAAAAATTATTGCTGTAACTAAGTGAGCTTTTTTTTTTTTCAAGGCCACAAACATTTTGTGCTTAAAAAAAAATCACTCAGAATATGTTGAATAAATTGTCTACTCATCCATATATGGAAAACATCGCCAAAATCAAGTTTAAACGTGGTTCTTGTAGCATGTTTTATTGTTGTGACTGATGGCCCTGTGATAATATATATATATATATATATATATATATATATATATATATATATATATATATATATATATATATATATATATATATATATATATATATATATATATATATATATTTGGATAAAACTGAAGCATCAGTTTTATCCAAAAAGCAGGAAAAAAAATGTCAACTTTACCATATAATATGAGGGATTTAAAAGCCAGAGTCAATCCAATCCAAAAATCGAAACTTGTTTCAACACTTTGTCCTTTATTGCCCCCTAATAGAAAAGAGTTTTAGAAAAATTTATTGGCCAGAGAATAAGAGTTTTTATGTTTAACAATTCTTCAATTTTAAAATTCATGTCATAAACGTCTTGCGTGCATAGAAATATCCTTGTTATTTGTTTTTTCCTTTTTGTATTATTACTTATTATATGTTATTGTTGTGATAAGAAATAATCTTTAATAAGGATTATTAAATGGTATAAAAATCTTGTTCTTTCATCAATGATGGAAAAAACAAAGATTTTTATACCATTTCAAGCAGTTATATATTATTTTCATAAAACAAACCGTCCTATTTAGCTACTATTTAAGTTTCTAATTAAATTAAAAAAAAAAAAAAACATCAAATTTCATAAAGCTAACGCAAAAATTTATTTATAATTTAGTAATCAAATGCAAAAACCAAAACAAAAAACGACATAAAATACACACAAAAAAATGCATATATTTCATACATAATTTTAAAACAAAATTCCTAAGTATCAAATCTTCAAGAAAACATAAATAATTGATTTAGAGAGATTAAAGGCTATACTTACCTTTTGGACAGGGAACCTTTTTTAAAAAAGTTTTTTAAATTGACCTTAAAGTTTTTAAACATTGAGAACTAAAAATTTTGTATAAATTTTAAAAAGGCTCCCCTTTCCATTCGATTCCTCATCCTTTTTTTAATCTATATGGAAATCTCCATGCAAATTGGATGTGTTTTAGTACTTAGGAAATCTTACCTTCAAAAGCTACTTTGAAAAAACATGTCCGCTGCAACTTTTTAAAACTAAAGTGGTCTCAAAATATTAATAATATTTAAATGAAGGCATATGAAACATAGTACTTTCTATATATGGCTGGAAAGAGGTTGAGTAACACTAACTGATGCAAAAAACTTCAACGTGCTTGCTTAAGCCTACAAAAAGAAATAAGAGAGAGATAAAGTTTATGAAATTTTGGTGTTTTTGGCCAAACGTCAAATGTTTTTCGTAATGCCGTGGAATTGCTATCTAAATACATTTATTTTGCATTAAAAATTTTCAAATTTTAAACACATGCAACTAATATAACTTTAGTTTTGTAATATTAGTCAGTGGCATAGGAAGATTAAAAAAGATGGAGGAGGGGGGCAGAAACAAAAATTAAAGCAGGCTAGGGCAGCAAAAAGTAAAATTTAATTAAAAAAAAGAAATTTTAAGAAATTTATGGGAGTTGGTGATTACCATCTTTGACCCCCTCCACCTGTTCATATGCCAGTGGTATTAGTTACACTATATTTTAAAATTCTTAATAGTGAATTGTTATTTTATTATAATTATTGTTATAATTTAATAATTATTTTTACAATATAACAATAACTATAATTGTTGTAATAAAACTATAATTAATTATAAATTATAAAGGTGTTTTGGAAAAAAAAAATTTAAAATTAAAAGCAGACATTGTTTTTAAGGCGTGTTTTGAAACTAGTAATCTCTATGAACTTTTTCATAATTTTTAAAAAATAATCATTCAATAAGGTTTGTAATCATCTATATTGGTTTATTTATTATTAATTTTGAATTTTTTGATCTTAGTTTTAATCTTAGTTTTAATTTGGCGTTTTGAAAAACGGCTGTAGTATAGGAGTGCAAAAAAAAAAAAATTAATTTATAGGTATTGAAATGTATTTATTAGTTAACTAAAAGCAGCTAAGAAATTTATATCTTTATAAAAAAAAATGATGTTGTATTTAAAACTTTAGGCAAAAAAAAATGCCTTTTTTTTTAGGTGGTGGGGGGTGGGATTTTTCAGTAAAACATGGCAACTTGTTACTAGGGGGAGGAAGTTGAAACTTTCAAAAATTGCATGGTATAATTTATTGACAAACTCTTAATGAATTTTAAAATCCATATTTTAATCTTCTTTTTTACGAAGAATAAATATAGTTTAAAAATTTTATAGTTTATTTATTTTAGCAGTTTAGCCTCGCGCACTTTCTCAACATCAGATTTTATTTCTTCTAATAATCTTTTACCAGTTGGTCTCTCTTGGTTCCAGGTACAATGGGAAGATAGTGTAGCTGAGCTTTGTAAAAAGTTGTCTGGTAAATCACATTAAATGTTTTGTCTTATGATGAAATTAGTTTTGACTTATTTTTTTTTTTTACCTTAATTTTTTTTTTATAATACTATTTCTTTTTTTTTTTTTTAAAGATTTAACTGAAGAACCTATTTTCGACTGGAATGAGTATATTGAACCTAAAAAAGAAAATGTTTTATTGTTAACAAAACTTAATGAGATAAAATACAGAAATATGTAGATCTTTTTTATAATAATTTAAAAAAATGAAATATAGTTTTTTCTGAATATTATTTTAGTTAAATTTTAAAAAGTTCCATATTTTTAATGTTTGTTTAAATTTTATGATTATATTTTAATCTTATACAAGATTTATTTATATATAAACAATTGAAGATGGCAATAAAGTTTGAAGTACTGCTAACCTTTATAGTTACATAGTTTGGCATATAATTTTTATTTCATAAACTATAATTGTTTAGTTAGCAAATATTGTGTCATCCTAAGTGTATATATAAATATATATTTATGCATATGTGTTTGTTAGAACCCAAAACCTTTGTTGATGTATGTACCATAATTTCCCCAGATGATTATTTATGTCATCAGTGTTTATGCCATCAGTGGCATTTCATGTGCAGTTAAATTTATATTTTATGATATGTGTGTGTGTGTATATATATATATATATATATATATATATATATATATATATATATATATATATATATATATATACACAGTACTGGACAAAAGTCTGAGACCAAGGGTTGAAAAAGACTAAAAACTGATTTTAACCATAAAATTTTATTCAATCAACAACCATGTCAATTTTTTCCAATATAATTCATATTACTAGGAATAAGTACAACATACTTTGTGAAATAAAACACAAAATGTCCATGTCATGTCAGTATTTTATAGGCATTCCTTTAGCCGCTAGCACAGCAGTAATTCTCCTGGGCATAGAATTGATCAAATTTTCACAATAAGCAGGAGTGATTTCATGGACCAAACCAACATTATCTTTTTTTTCAAATCATCATATGATGATGGCTTTAAAGCGGCTACCTTTTTCTTTAACAGATGCCAGCAATTCTCTATTGGATTTAAGTCAGGCGAGGATCCCGGCCAAGTAGAAAGTACCTGAATATTTTTCTCAGCAAGCCATTTAGTAATCACCTTTGCCCGGTGACATGGCGCACCATCATGCTGGAAGATTGTACAACCAGAAAGAGGCAGCCACTGAAGCAAATTGCTTTTCAAAATTTTCAGATATTCATTGGCATTAATGGTTGTTTTAGGAGGCATGAACCAAATACCTGCTTGTCCTCTGGTTGAAATTGAAGCCCAGACCATGATTGATTGGCACTGTTTAACATTGCATTTGGTGTACTTGGGATTCAGTCGCTGATTAACAGGTCTATAAACAAAAGAATGAAGAGGAGCAAACTGCTTTATTTGACTTTCATCTGAAAACATTACTCGCGTCTAATCCAACGCAGTCCAGTCTTTGTGCTTTTGACAAAAGGCAATCCGATCCTTGATGTTCTTGGCAGAAAGCCTAGGTTTAATGGAAGGTCGCCGGGCATGCAGGTTGCAATCAGAGGATAGTCTTCGTCTGATAGTTCTGGAGGAAACAGTAACAAAGGATGGCAAGTTGTGTTGTATTACTGTGGATGATGACATTGGAGAATTAGTACAAGTGCGATGAATCAAGCGGTCAGTCTGCATAGAGGTACATTTTTGTCTACCAGATCTTTTTCGGGAAGTTAAGCTGCCAGTCTGCTGCAATCGAGTTATTGTGTTATGAACTGCAGTTTTAGAAACAGACAAACATTCAGCAATGCTTCTCTCGGTGTATCCCTCCTCTTTTAAAATACTGATCTGTGCTCGAACTGATATTTGTAACTCACACATTTCAGTGAAAGAAAATTAATGCTAAAATCAAAAATGGGAATTTGAAGCACAAACAGCAAATGCCAGATTCATTAAACAATAACTATATAAATATGCAATACAGTATGTATGTATGTAATGCATGTATATACCAACATAATACCACAACAGCGCTAATATGCGTCAATCCTAGGACACTTTCATGTTTATTATCTGCTATAAACTATTATAATTATTAATCTATAATTTGCCATCACGCAAAACCGAATAATATAGTGCATGGTTCATATAAAGTTGAAAGAAGTTATGCGTGCAACATACTACATATATGACAATTGATTACTCATCAGTTTTCCTCACATCATCAGTGATGCTGACAATAAATTGTTGTGTTCTGAATTATGTTGAATTACTAATATGAATTATATTGGAAAAAATTGACATGGTTGTTTATTGAATAAAATTTTATGGTTAAAATCAGTTTTTAGTCTTTTTCAACCCTTGGTCTCAGACTTTAGTCCAGTACTGTGTGTGTGTATGTATATATATATATATATATATATATATATATATATATATATATATATATATATATATATATATATATATATATATATTTATATATATATATTTATATATATATTTATATATATATATATATATATTTATATATATATATTTATATATATATATTTATATATATATATTTATATATATATATATATATATATATATATATATATATATATATATATATATATATATATATATATATATATATGCATAAGTATCTTTGTGTACTTATCGTTGCATAAAATATCATTTATGATGTGATACTAAAATAGCCATTTGTGGGAACTTCAGTATTTACATTGACTGAAGGTTTTGGTAGGTAATATCTAAATATGAAGGACTTTTTATTACGACAAAAAAAATGTATTTTTTTAATATTATTCTTTTTTTATTTTTCTGAAAAAACTGTTCAGATATAAATCAACATTTTAAAACTTGAAGTGTTCAAAATATACTACAAAAGTGATGACCTAAATCTGCAAAAGTATATATATATATATATATATATATATATATATATATATATATATATATATATATATATATATATATATATATATATATATATATATATATATATATATATATATATATACATATATATATATATATATATATATATATATATATATATATATATATATATATATACACACACACTCATATATACATACGTAAGTGTATATATATGAATAAAGAAAATATCTTTATATTATCATGTATATCATTGTATACTTTAAAGAGTGCTCAATAGATAAACTAGAGCTATATAGTATATATGTTACTGTTACCCACAGTAGCAGGAATGTTTATAATATATGTATTAATATAATATGTGTATATAAGTATAAACGTATTTAGATAAGCAATGTGATCTCATACTGAAATAATCTTTTAGCTATGACTATTGACTATCTTATAGTCTGCTGTTGCAAAGGAGTGCCGCTACTTTGACTGAGGATTTGGGTTAGTGCAGCAATCTTTTCTTTCAATATTCTTTATTTTTTCGACTTTTTTCAAAAAAGCTGTATGATATAATGATAAGAAAAACAGGTAACCAGTTGCCGATATGTTTACTTTATAGTGTGTGTGTGTGTGTGTGTGTGTTTGTGTGTGTGTATGTATTTAAATAATATAGTATATAAATGTTGGTTATTTACCTGGAGCTCAATACTTTTTTTAATCACTTAGCCTATCTAATAATGTCTCGCTTAATTAAATCAACTTCATCTGAATGTCGAGTTTATGTTGGAAATCTTCCTCAGTTTGTTAAAAATAGGGATATAGAAGATCTGTTTGATAAGTATGGTCCAATAAAAGCAATTGATATTCACAACAGATTTGATCCAGCTTTTGCTTTTTTGGAGTTTGAAGATCCTAGGTATATTATATCTAATTTTTTAATTTTTTTTTTAATTTTAGATAAACTTTTTTATTCTTTCATTGTGTGGTTTGGATAGGTTTCTATAATTTTCTTTTTTTATTATGTTAGAGTTATAGCAATTTTTTAACTGGATGTCATTCCTAGTTTCACCTGTTTTGTAGATCAGAACTTATTATTTTGTGATACTATAACTAGCACTTAAGATTGCTTAGCTCCTCCTATCCTTACCTACAGTTAAACTAAAATTCCTATATCAGAGTTTTTTCTCTTAGTTAAGATGCCTTCACTAAGTCAAAGAGCCTTGTCTGGCCTCATTCTTTATTAATAATATTATTATTTAAAGTGATTAAAAAATTCAAATAGAAAACTGCTTTGTTTTTATAAAAGGTTTAATATATTACTGCATTTAAAAACTCTGACTCTATCCTAACTCATTTTGATGTTTTGTTACTATTGTGAAAAATACTCCTTTTACATTTTTTTTTTTAGTTTTTCTGTTATTTATGTTCTTTTTTTTTCTTTCTTTTGTTTGTATAATCTTGCTTAAAAGAAAGTGAAATAAATAGTTTTGTTTTTAGAGATGCATCTGATGCTGTTTATGGTAAAGATGGTGAAAGATTTGAAGGGCAAAGAATCAGAGTTCAGTTTCCTCGTAATAGTGCTGCCGGTAGAGAGAGAACAGAATCTGGGTCTAATAACAATGGAGGAGGTGGGTATGTGAGAGGACGAGGACGAGGACCACCCATTAGGCGGTCTGAAAATCGAGTTCTGGTTTCTGGATTACCCCCAACTGGGAGCTGGCAAGATCTTAAAGATCATATGCGAGAAGCAGGTGAAGTACTTTATGCTGATGTTTATAAAGATGGTACTGCTGTATGTGAATTTGCAAACTATGAAGATATGAAATGGGCTGTGAAGTATTTGGATGACAGCAAGTTTAAATCTCATGAGGTAAATTATTTTAAACATTTTTATACTAATTTTGTATCTTTAGAAGAATTTGATTGAAAAATCATTTCTAGTGTACACAATCTGCATACTCGTTAGGTATATTTTATTTGGTTATATCAAATTCAACTTTAAGTTTTGATTTATTTTTGCATCATTCAATCTAGCCGGAACAGATGTTACTAAGGAAAAATCTATCCGGGACTGAAGTTACTAGGGAAACAATCTAGCCAGGAATCGAACGTGCATCAATTCTTAGAATACTCGAGGATCTTTCAGGGAGGCGTTTTAAAGAACTCTCTACACCAAGGATTTTCAGAGGACTTTCTGTTCCACCGGGATGGATTTTCTAACTAAATTACGGGAGTTGTAAGTGGTGTATAGGCCGCTAAATGTTCTAAAATTAATTACAATAAGATATTTTTCACAATGCCAAATAAATTTTTAAAAGAACTTTGTATTTATCGTAATTGGCATATCCCGGGGAAACTTTTAAATTAAGTCCATCTGCTAGAATTATTTAGATTTTTAAATCTGCTTTTCATAATTCGGTGAAGTACAAGAGCACTTGTAAAAATCATGTATTTTTTAAAAATTCCTGCATTTTTTGATTTAATGTGCTACTGTGTTTTTCTCTGAACTGTGAAAAGCTTTTTAATCTGTAGTGGTAAATAAATTTGGTTTTAAACATTTTGCAATTTTATAATACTTTCATTGGTATTGATTATTTTTAGAATGAAACAACTTTTGTAAGGGTTAAACGCGATGGTAACTCACGTAGTCGATCACCAGCTCGACGTTCCAGAAGTCGATCTCTTAGGCGTTCTGGTAGTCGATCTCCAAGACGAAGAACTAGAAGTCTTTCTCCTCAACCCTTGAATTCACGAAGCAGGTTAGTTGTATAACTGACATTTTATTTTAAAACTAATTGTTATATTATATGATATTATCATTATCAAGTTTTGAACAATTTTAAAATAAGTTTTTCCAAAAACTACTTCTTACAATTATTTTTTTTTAATGATCCATTTATGATTACTTTTTCAGGTGTTGTTTTGTTTGCATCTGCTTTGTATTTATATTCTCTTATTTAAAATTATAATTATTTCCAAAAATAACTGTTAGAATTGTCATGAAATGTTTTATGGATAGCAAAACTATAAATAGAAAATCTGAAAGTAGTGGAATTCTATCAATAAAAAGAAAACAAAATTAATAGTTGACTCGATTCAAAATAACTCTGTCACATCTAGATTTAGCAAAAAGTTTTAAATGCAGCAGATTTTTATATTTAAAGAGTATTGAAAAAGGATAAATTCTGAGTATGTTAGAAAAAACAACCAAAAACGTTATTTTATGGAGAAATTAAGGAAACTGAATAAGGTAAAAATTTCCTTAAATTAGTGACTTAGCGATAAAAAAAATTACTTCCAATCTAACATATAATAAAAATCTCCACATGTTTTCAGATAATACTATTATCATTGAAAAGTCAAAATTTGAAAAATTTAAATACATTTTAGTTGCAAAATTTGTTGGCAAAATTGGCAGGCTAGTTGTATTAGTTTTAAAAGAAAAAGTCTTATTACTGCAAAAAAGCATTTAACCAGAAAGTTTACGCCTTCTTCCTTACCAATTTTGCTTTTCTGGTCAGAGCTGAGATAGAACCAGAGGTTCTATCACAGAATCTCTTGTTTTATGTCAGAACCATCTGAGCCAAAACTGCTGCTTCAAATGTCTAATCTTTAAATGTTGTTTTTGACCAATGCCAGGTTTGTTATTCCTCAATTTCAATACTTACAATTCTGCACATTGTATTAAATCTGACCTTATATTGTCTGTTGTGCACACTTTCTGTGCCCATTCAAAAATTTTTTAAATATTGAAAAATTAGCTTTTAACTTATTAACACATAAAATAAAGTCAAACTAAAAGGTTTGTTTATACTTTTGTATATAATTTATTTATTATTAAATGAATTATATACAATTGTATATAATTTATTTAACGAGTATATTGTGATAAAATTGATTTTCATCTTCATTTGAGTAGTTGGTGTCTTAAATTTCTTTTTCTTGATGAGCCTCTTGTGTATTGTACACTTGTGTGTTGCTCAAAACAGGTCCTTTGAAACCTCTACTTGTCATCAACCAAAATTTTTCATTTTTATAACCATCAATAATATAATATAATCACTTCTTTACTCGTTTGAAATTTTGAAAGTTTGAATTAGAATGAAAACTACATTTTAGTTTAAGTTTATAACTATCGCAATATAGTTAGGTGCTTTCAAAATTAAAATTTTCATATCCTAAAATAACTTTTTTTATAGTAGTTAAGGTGCTTTTCAAGAAATTGCCGTCGGTGGGTTAATAATTTAAACAATCAAGATATTTCCGTAAAATATCTGGTCTGCAAGATAAACAATTAAATTATTTAAAAGGAAAACACCAAAAATCTTACTGTGGACTGCTAGCAATCTTTTAAAATTTATTTAAAATGCAATATGCCTATCAAGAGTTAATGTTATATAATTTAATAAATAATTTAATAAATTTAATAATTATAATTTAATAAATAAATAGCGGTATATTATGGAATCCTAACTTTAGCTTTAATTTCTAAACCGTTAAAATCTCAAGTTTTTGAATGGTATTTTCAAGTGAAGATTTAGTTCAGTGCTGGAATTATTTTAACTATTGCAAAGACATTTAGACACTTAGATATTCCTCAAAGAAATAGAAGATAAATAGCTATTACTACCATTGCTATATTTTTGTTTACTTTTACTTATTAAATGGAGAATATTTTCATCAATAGGTTTTGCTTAATTTACATTAATAAGTTTTATTTTATGAATAAGTTTTGCTTTGATTATTTCCATTAATAAGTTTTACTTATTAATGGAACGGGAAAAAACATGGGTGAAAAAACATCTTTTTTAGGAAATTAGTTGACTTAAACACTTTGTAAAAGTTCTAGCTCTTGTGATCATTTCTAAAGTTTTTTCAATTTTATTTAAAACAATTTGAAGCAAACATACTGAGCAAAACCCTTAAAAAGTTCAAAAAGATATTAAAGTTCTTAAAATCTGTATAAACAACACCAAAAAATCTCTTTTTTTTAAATGTACAAGCAGAAAAAGTTGTATTAGGGTTGTATTATCCATAAAGAACGTACGCAGGTATGAGGGAGGGTGTTTCCCGAAAGTGTACAAACGTGTACAGTGAGTGGTTTGACTAGGGGTTGCAATCCTGCACACTTTTCAATCCCGCGGGGTTCGCGCTGATTTTTTAATTTATGTGCAGATCCCGTGGGATTGGAAATTCTTATGCGCGTTATAAAAGGCAAAATGACAACTGTATTTTTCGTTCAAGTATTTCAGAAAAAATATACTCAACTTATTAAATTGAAAAACACATTTTATTTGTAAATCAGTATAATTCTTAACATTTAATGAACAAAAAGATAAGATCAAAATATGTAAAACGTCTTTTAGCTTTACTTAGAGTGTCTTTTAGCTTTACTTTTACTTAGCTTTATTAATGTATTCCTGCATTAATAAAAAAAGTCTAAAAAAAATATCCCCTTGTTACGGATTATTTACTGCTCAACAGAATTCAATTTAAACATATATTGTTAGAGTGTATTACTTTAATTTCTCTCTGTACTGTAGTTGTTTTTATTATATAATTTCTTTAACGAGCAAGTGGTTTAATTTTTGCATTGTTTATAATATATATATATATATATATATATATATATATATATATATATATATATATATATATATATATATATATATATTGCTTTTTTTTGTATTTTTTCTATTTTGATTTTTTTTTTTTTTTTTTTTATTTTTTTTGAGAATTTTATGTTTTTAAGGAGTCACTCCATTGACTAGTTTGTAACTATATGAGTGACACCTAACCAAATTCTATTAATTTTCAATAAGATTTGTAATTTTTTACTGATACGGTTGGATTAAAAAAAAAAAAAAATTAATATATCAAACATGAGAAAATTATTGTAAGAAATGTGCTCTTAAGAAACAGACCCTACTTAAAGTATCATCATATAATCTACTCCTCAAAGGACTGTATATATAGCCAACAGTTGAAAAAGCTCGCTCGGCCTGTAAGCTTGTTCGTGATATGGTCATCAAGTAATTATGAGCTATATCTAAAAAATTTACCTCTTACTCCGTTACTTTCATAGGAAGACATTTCCTGCTTCAATAATTTATCAAAGTCTAAAGAATTTAAATTTTGTATCTCCTTTACATTTTTTGTCCAGCTTTTCTTGTCTTTCTGTGTCTTTTTTTCAGCGATAGAATTGTAGGAGTAAGTATTTGAGAGTTGTTAATAGAATCTACAACTTCTTTTTCTTCGAGTTCATTTTCTTTGCTTTATTTTTTTCAATTGTATAAACTTTATTATTTCTTGACGCATAACGGTTCTCTTTAGCATTGAAAAAGTATTTTCATTTTTTTAAATTTCTTGTTCATATATTTTAGGATTTTGTAAGTAAACCAGTAGTCCATTTAAATTCTTATTACGATGTTGTGTAAACTTCTCACGAAATGCCGCAGCTAAATCAATGCTCAAAAGTGATGATTGCTTTTGTAATTTATCTAACATAAATTGTAATTTGTCTAACATTTTCACAAACTTTCTCACTTGTTTCATGAGATCTTTGTCAATGCTAACCAATTTAGCAGATGGTTAGTCCAAAATTATTGTCAAACTATATTCTTTATTTATAATTTCATCGTCATCAGTGTTCTCATGTTCATCTTCTCAATTTTCATTTGTAGGAAATGATTCTTCGACTTTTCCGTGTTTTTCTTGTATAAGATATCAATAACTGCAAGTTGTATTCCATGAGCATAACATAGTTGATGATAGCAAGACATCATTTTATCAACTTTCACCATCACACTTGCTTTATCAGTGGTCATGGTGATGTCTTTTTGGAGGTCGATATCGAAGCTGTTTAGCCTTCCTGCAACTAACTTGATGCAATATTCTGCATTACACGATCCATGAATTCAAATCAATCCAAGATTAAAGTGTTTTGCCTCCATATGTGCATTTAAGTTAAGGTATCTCTGACTATTTTGTGATGTCCATTCGTCTAACGTTAAGTTTTTGGTCTTCAAATTTAGTTTTAAAAAGTGTTGATTTTAGAAGTTCATGCTTGTAAACGTTTCTGAAGTTTTGTAATTTTCTAGAATTATAAATTATATATAATATATTTTAAGAATTATAAATTATAAATAAAATATTTTTTAATTATAAATAACAACGTTTTTCTTTTCTTTTTTATTAATAGATTATTTTGCAATTATTCATATTATTATGTAAATTAAAAACACATTAATTCCTGTTTGATATTACAACTGCTGTTACTTATTACAACATACAATACAACACAACAATATTACAACTGCTATTACTTAAATTGAATAATATATTTTACTTAATAAAATCATATCTAAAAGAATCTTTAGCAATTTTACCGATGTAATCTATAAAAATACCAGCAGCTCGATTAGTTGAGTAACTATTACCAAGATCAACAAAAATAAATTTTTATTTCATTTTAAACCTATGTTATAGATTATCAAAAGATGATTTTTTTTTTATTAATTCGATTTTAAGTTTTACTAATTCGTCTTAACTATAGTGAGTATGAGTTGTTGTTCTTAGGCTCCAATTGTATGTGTAAATATAACACAGTTTGGAATGTTTTCAGTTTTAACTCTTATTCTATATTTTAGATCTCGAAGCAGGTCGCCTCGGAGGTTTTCACGTAGTAGATCTCCAATACGTCGCAGAAGCAGATCACGATCGGATTCAAGGAGATAAGCCTCAAAGTTTTTTGTATTACGTTTGTCATCCTTTGCTTTTATTTTTGAAGATTGCTAAGATTATTCTCAAGATCTCAAAGAAATCAAAAACTAGAATTTCTTTTGTTAAAAAAAGTTTTGAAAATTCAAAATTTTTATTTTTATTTTTTTTTAAAGATTTTTAACTGTGAATCTATCCAAATAAATTGAAACCTTAGTAGAATACTCCAATGATACTTAAAGAAAATTTATTTTCGTGTTGATTTTTTTACATTATTGACGTCCCTTGTAAGGGGGTAGAATTAAGTTATTAATTTTAAAATGTATGCATTTTTCGGTTTTTTGGCTAAAAGAGGATGCGTACACATTAGAATATATGATGGACAATCTGGTTCTGCTGCTGTTTTTGAAAATTGAAAACAAACAACCTTTTAACTTGGGCCCGAAAATTGCAAATAAAACTTTTTATTCAGTGACATGGGTTTTAAAAATAGGGTCTCCTCTAAGTCTTGAAATTTCTGAAAAAAGTTCCATTACAAAAAAAAAAAAAAAAGGCACGTGCTCCAAGGCCCCCCTGGTGTTGTCGGTCGTGAAATTTTCAACAGAATGCAGGCAACATTTATTTTTACAGTTATTACGCAGCGCTAAATTAAGGTAACAGATCCCCTTAAAATAAATTAAGGTAGCAGATCTCCTTAAAATAAAGTTGCTTAAACTAATGCTATTAAACGCCAACCTTTTTTTTTTTTAATTGAAAATTAAAAAAAAAAAATTAAGGACTTATTAGACAATTGAGCAGCCATTTTAAAAAATTTTCAAACGTGATTACACAAGTTTTACAAATGCTGTGGAGTTATAATTTTCAGGATATGTTAGTTGTACTATTAACTAGGGTATCTACCACTTTTGAAAAAAAAAAAAATTATACTTTAAATGAAAATTGAACTTTCATTTCATTTATTTCAGGTACAAACCCTAGATAACATAACAAGGAACATTAGCTGAAAATTTCTAATCAAAATCTATAGTAGAAGTTGAGAAGACGCGTTTTATGTGTCGAAAAGTATTAAAAAAATAAAACACAAGAAAAATGCTCCTAAAGATTTTGTAATTAAAAAAATAATACATTTTTTATCATTCTAAAAAGCACCAGCGGAATATGATGCTCTTTCTTCATTTTCTTTATCTATGAATCCTTTTTCCATAGCTTTTAGTAACTTTCTTCTGCTAATACCTGCTGTTGAAGTCTTTTTTCTCATATAACCTATTCGAGTCTTATTTTTTTTAATGGTCCCTATGTCCATAAATCGACCGGTCTTTTACTGTAGTTTTTGAAAAACTTCATATATCCCACTAGCTCCATCATTAAACTCTAAAACAGCAGATGCTACAGCTTTTAAGAATATTTCGACTTACATAAACATCTTTAGGACATTTTTTCCGAATGAAATTGTTAATTGCTTCATTATTATTTTGTGTCTGCCCATGCAAACATTTAGATAATAATTCATCTCTGCTCAAATCTTGAAAGATGGGTTTTAAAATTTCATTTATTGCTAATGGAAGATTTAATTTAGCTTTGTAAGTTGATTTACCTGTTAGTTTATTTGACTGCCACATGTACCAGCTATTTATGTTTCGAGGACAAAATTTAGGTCGTTCAGTTTCATCAAGAATATCTGAGTTATGGAAAAGTGTTGCCCAAATACCCTTTTTCATTTCATAAATGCTGTTAAGATTTTGCCTTATGGCAGTACCATAATAATTCTGCAAAGTATTTATAGCTTTAACAGTTAATCGTCCTTTACCCATTATTTTTCTTCCATCCGACAATATATTTAATTTCATTAATTGGCGTAATTTTCGCAGTCGTGTTCCCATACGCTTTTGAACATGTCCGACATTCTTTTTTATTAATAGTAACATTAAGTCCATATGGTTGAAATTTGTTAACATCATTGTATGAAGATGTATCTCCATCTCCTATATAAGATGTATACCTTAGTTTATACTTCTCCACAGATCGTCCAAACATTTCAATAGCACCCACAGATTCTATTGATCATGATGATTTTATATGGTTAATGAGACAAATGTGATTATTTTGCCAGTTATTATAGCCAGGTTCATTTTTTCTTTTGTTCCAATATTCACAACCTTTACATTGTTTTGATAAAACAAAATGGTCAACACATTTTTGATTATTTGTTGATATCAAAGTAACAACACCATTTATGAATGTGTGACCTCTTTTTTGCCATGTTCCATCAACAGAAACATGGCAATCAACAATACTTGTAATATCACTGATGACATCCATCAAAACAATATCATGTGTCTCTTTTGCAGCCTTTGACATGGAAGTATTAGCTGCTTCGACATAAGCACTGTGAAGTAATTTTGTTATTTTACCATAGTTTTTTTTGTCATCGGTCTTGGCATATTCATGCTACGATTAAATGATTCTATGGAAGTATAATCTTTTCTTATTTCTCTAAAAGCAACAACAACTTGTGTATTAACTTCTGCACTTCTTTTAATTATTGCTAAAGTTTTAAATGTGTCTATAATTTTATCACAGCTTTCACAAAAAATTTCAAGTTGTAAACAAAATCCCATTTTTTTCCCAATGTTATCATGCAAAGTAATTTTATTTTCACATTCAGGACAAAAAACATACTTACTAAATATTTTTTTTAATATAGAAAAGTTCATAATAAAGTTATAATTGTTCTTGTAATCTTCATTGTTACACTCAATATTTTGAGTAGTTTTCGTTTTCGAAAATAACTTTTTTGCACTTATACAACTTGCAATTGGCGATGAAGGTAAACTATTTTTTTGTTTATCATTGCATGTGTACTGATTTCCTTTAAACTTGTATTTACGTTTTCTAATCGTACTGCGAGTCATTTTTTTTGTTTAAAAGTTGCAAACAAATTTGAAGTAAAAGTGGCTTTTAGAAGCTATCAAATATAGTCAGAGTTGTGATTCTAATTTGTAATGTTCAAGCTGTGGAGTTTATCCTAAAGTTGTTTTGAGCACTGGTACAAATATTTGGCAAACAAGATTCTTTTAAAACTGAAGTTTCCTACAAAAAGCTGATTTGAAAGTTAAAAAGCCAACAATCGAACCCGTTGCTATAGTGGTAACTAGAGAAGCCTGAAAAACTATGGTCCACTAAACAAAAATATTTAAAAAACTAAATTGAGTTATAAGAAACTGTTTTCATATTAATAATCTCCGTTAAATTTTGAATAAAAATCAAGTAAATAAAAAATTTGAACTTTTTTTGATTTTTAAGGGGATCTGCTACCTTAAGTTAATAAACAAAATGGGAAATGTCAAGGAAACATCCCTCGCAGACTATCTGATTAAACCAAAATTTTAAAAGCGCTTTAAGTTCAATTCGCCTTTCCCCTTATTATTTCACACAATGAATTATGGTATTTGTATGCCAAAAACAGAAACTCTTAGTTTTTTTAATTTTTTATTACTTCGTGGCTTGTTCGTTCTAGTGCTTCCAATACCGGTAGTACCGGTACCGGAATACCGGTATTACCGGACATTTTTAAGTACCGAAATACCGGTATTGGTTTGGCTCAATACCGGTATTAAAAATATATGTAGAGGGCTTATGATATAGCAGGTGCTATCGCCCTCTTTACGTGAAACACTATAGTAAATGAAATACTTAAAACTTTCAACAACGCTTCCGGTAGGAAAAAGATAGCTAGATGAGAAAAGACGTGTTTAAATTGTCTAAAACAAGTATTCTACGTACTTTATACTTAATATCTAGTTGCCAGCTCATTTCCTACTAGGTTTGGTAGGAAATGAGCTAGCAACTAGCCAGCGAACAGCTAGCGTTTAAGACGTATAAAATACGTAGAATACTTGTTTTAGACGATTTAAACACATCTTTTGTCATCTAGCTGTCTTTTTCGTGACTGGAAGTTTTAAGTATTCCATTTACTTTCGTGTTTTCATTAAATAATGAAGCACCAATTTAAAATATTATCATTACGTCACTCGCTTTAATGTAGAACGCATCTTTGAATTTTGCACTAACGTAAATATGAAAAGTTTCGGTAATGTAAAAAGTGGGGCGCTTAAGTAACTGTGATCAACAGTTGTGCATTAGGCATGGGTTTCACCTAGGTATTCAAGATATTTTGTACAAAAAAATCGTCAATTTCTGCAAAAAAAACTTGCAAGTAATATGCAATAACAGAGAAAGTGACGAGGAAATACTGATGACACAAACATAACCAATAATGATGAAGACTTTTCCGGCGGGTTTCAAGTTGTAATGAGTGAAGAGAATGACTCTATTGAACTGACTGATGATTTGCAGCCGTTAATCAAAAAGGTGCGCACCGTTTGAAATTTTTATTTCGCCGTTCTCCGACAAAAAATGATCAAAATTCAAAAACGCACGTTAGAAAAATTTGATAAAGATATTCCACTAATACTTCGATCCAAAACTAGCTGGGTTAGCTTGCACACAGTACTCGAACGTTTTGTATAATTGAAAAAATGCATTCACGAGTCACTTTTTGCCATTGAGTCCAAAGTTGAGGTAACTAATAATGAGTCCGATGCAATATTAGCTGTTAACTTATTGCGCCAGTAAAACTGGCTGTGGAAACATTGTGCCAAAATCACGCAACTCTGTTGTGTGCCGATACAACATTTTTATGATAGATAACCTTTGAGAAATCGATTTAGCTGTAAAGTTATGTTGGTGCAACAATTCAATGAGCAACGTACTCTTTTTCCAGCATACAACATTTTTTGCACAAGGGACATCAACGTTACAAGAATTTGGATCTAGCTCTATCTTTTGAGCACCATAGCAAATTAGCCATTGTAAATACCATTACTCGACTGAAAGATCGGCTTAATCAGAAAGGGTATAGTCCTCTCCCTTTCACCAGCGTTTTTTCCGATAGTGATTCTGTGGACAACGCTGTAAACTTGTCATTGAAAAAAAAGCTTGACTTTGCAATTTTGAAAAATAAGAAATGTAACAACAAGGGAAAATTGAATGTTTCGAATAATTCATCAAAAATTATATGTATTGAAATAGGAATTTTTGAAGAAGGAGGAAATTTTACATTTAACGGCTATTACAGTCAAAACACTACGT